AATGATTAAACTGGAGTATTGCTTGTCAGAGAATAAGATTGCAGATCATTTTATGAAAGCCCAAGGCACTGTAAAACATAAGGCTTGCTGTGATGAATATGGACTTAAACTGTAAGGTTTTATATATTGTCCTACCCAAAGGGGAGAATGTTCAGAATGATGGTCACCTAACAGTTGGGTTGGAAATATATAAACTAGGATAGTAATTTAATACTGTATCTTTAAGAGAATGCTGTAATTGTGATTGGCTGAGGTTCCTCCAATGGCCATAAGATGGAGCCAGAAACCTGGTTTCTTTCTCCTTGCATTTCCTGATTTGCCGTATTGCCTGATGGTCATTCTGCTTGGATTGTTGTGAGTCTTGCAACTGTTAGCAAACTCTGTTTACTGAACTTTGTTTATACTTGACTTCATTTTTGGATTATCCCTGGACTGAAAGTAACTGCTTTAACCATATATGATTTGGACTGTTTGTCAAGAACTGTAACAGGTTTGGTGTTGTTTTTGAATGGGCCAATGAACCTTTCTCCTTTGATCATGTTTGCTGTGGTGTCTGTGTACACTGCTTATGGGTGGGGATAGAATGAGGGAATTGAAACATAAGATTGACTTTAAAAGTTTATAGAATACATTAAACATATTAAGGAGATTATATGAAGATCATTTAGATAAATGGCTTTTCTGAAATAAAAGAAAGCCAGTTTTTATTCATAAAAGGACGCTATTACATGAAAAGAATGTAGAATGCAATATGTTAATTCCAGCAAACGATTGTCACAAATCATTTATTCCTTATAGAAACATAGTTTCTCTCATAGGCCAAAGGTTTAACAGCAGAGCCATACACATTTCAGATTTTGGAAAGCCATGTCTCACTTTGTAAGCTCCATATGTAGCATCATTCTGCAACTTTTTAAAGCAGCCACATTTTTCTCCCCGGTAATACAAATAGTTCTTGAGTTACAATTGTATTTGAACCCTGAATTACAGTGATAAGTCATTGCAATTGTAAGCCAAGTCATTTTGCATGAGATAAGTGAACATATAAATTTGATAAATAAATGTATTCAAGCAGAACCTAGACAGCCCTCTGTTGTGGACACTTCTTGCACTTAACAGATTGAACCCAATGGCCTAAATTCTGATCCCATGTAAGTATATTTGTCAATTGTCAAACATTTCCAGAAGTGAAGTCACATTTATTTGTTAATGAATGAAAATATTTTCACCCTTAATGTAAATATTGCCTCTTGTTTGATTTTTAGTCTGGGATGATGAGCCAGTATGATTTGGAAGCCATAATTATCTTCTCTACCTGTTTAACCCTGAAATTCACAAATGTTTGGAAGCCCTATCAAGGAAGAAAGGATGAATGGTATTGTACAGCCCCAGGCAATTCTGATACCACACAATTTATACATTTTAAGATTTAATATAATTCATACCAACATGCAGTCTTATCTTCTTTAAACTAGAGCAGAAGTGTCAAACTCACATCGTCATGGCGGCATCCCATGATGTATTTTCCCCTTTTGCTAAACCAGGCAGGGGTGGGGCCAGCATGTGACGCATCTGGCCTGTGGTTTGACACCCCTGGACTAAAGCATACTGTAGCCAGCGGAGAAAGAGGTTGAAGAAGGTTATACAATATATTCTTACATGGACCCTCTTCCTGTTTAGTTTCTCGAGTATTGAAGAAATATGTTTGGTAAAATCAAGAAATGGGTGAAAAAACAAATGCCACTTTAAGAAATAAATTAAAAAACAAAAGTGAATGACCAGTGGGAGGCAAAAGCAAGTCATTGTATTTGGTCAAACACAATGAAGATAGAATCATGAATACCCAGGAGGGATAAAGAGGAATGAGAAATTTGTAATGGAGAGTTGAGAAGGTTCTCAAAGAATAGTAAGATGTTTCAAGAACAAGAGGAGATATACAAAGCAATGTTTGAATATGGCTGAACGAAAAATAGATAACGAAGTATGGAAAGACATAGTGAGTTGTTTTCGGGTAAACTAGATTAGTTCTATTTATTTTATTCTTTTCCTTTTTACTTCTGTCTTTTAGATTTTTCACTATATTATGTGTAGAGCCAGTTTTATCTAGTAGTTAAGGCATCAGGCTGGAGACCATGAAGCCTTAATTACTGCATCAGTTTTAGTCCTGCCCTAGGTATGAAGCCAGCTGGGTGACCCTGGTCTAATCACATTATTATAGCCTTAGGTAGGGGGCAATAGCAAACCCCTTTGAAAACACTTGCCAAGAAAATTTCAAGGACTTGTTCTGGCAACCTCTGAGAACTGGATGTGATTGAATGACAAAAAACATTGTGTATGTGCAGTTCATATATTTATATTTGATTTTCTTAGGAACTGCTAGAATAGATGTGCAAGTTTGCATTTATTTTAGATAAATATTGGGACTTTCCTGCCTAACTACACGATTTCCTACCCTGGATAAGCAATACTATCATTAGGAAGATAAAGAAACACACCCTCCAAATAAATGTTGTTGAAGTACATATTTGGTACATCAAATTTACTTGTTTTTATATAGGGAATCTTGACCTCAGAGGACATTCTGAAAAGTGAAGGCTTTTTTAAAGGCTGCAGCGTAGAGCAAAAAAAGGTGATCTGCATCTCTCACAGAGCTTTGACATATTTCCCACAGCCCATCAAAATATCACATATTTCATGACACTGAAGGTGAAATTATTAAATAACCTAACTGTATCTAAATCAAACCATTAAAATACATTAACCTGACTGTAACTACTAACACAGAATAAAACTCAGCTTTTAAAAACTTGTGGCTGTATCTTAGGATGTAATAAATTAGAAAATTCTCAAAAATGTAAAGACATAGAAACCTTACCACGACTGATGCTGTACAGATGTCTGTACAAGGATTTATAGCAGAGATGGTATTCAGTTGGTTCAGACTGGTTCAGGTGAACTGGTAGCGGAAATTTTGAGTAATTTGGAGAACCAGCTAATACTACCTCTGGCTGGCCCCGCCCACCTACCCCTGCCCTTTCCTGTCCTAAATTCCCTTATTTTTTTAGCTCAGCTGATTCACACCCGAGAAAAGATTGCTGCGCCTCAGCTGAGCTAAAAAAACAGCTCACCTCACTAGTACTGACACCAAGGGTGGTCTTTCGAGTGTTGTACAAAATGCGCTCTCATAAAAACCAATTGCATCATGGCTGGCCCTGCCCAATATATCTTGTCTTTGGCACGTGGCCCAGCTGATCTCTGTACCTCACATCCATGCTTGTTCTGCTCACTAAATGTAAGCATGCTGCAGGCTAGCCCGCCTTGGGGCCCGGAGACGTGCCATTCCCCAGCCCTGGCCTTGCCCTAGAGTCTCCGCCTGCCTTGGCTGGGTTGGGGAACACACCATTCCCTGGCTCCAGCCTTGTCCTGGAGCCTCCGCCAGCTCACCACTTGCCTTGGCTGGGGAATGCACCATTCCCCAGCTCCAGCCTTGCCCCAGACCTCTGCCTGCATGCCACCTCCCCCTCTGGCCTCACACTACTGAAGCAATTTATTCGGCCTGCGACCTGCTGCACTAGACCAAAGGGCCATGGGGGTGGGGACACAGGGGGGCCAAAGCAGTTTGGGAATGGATCAGACAGTTCTTACCTTTAAAAAGATCCATCTGGAAAGTGCTGCAGCAGAGATCTTGCAGCCACTTCTTCTGTCCCTTGCCACCAAGGCTTCGCTCACAGAGAGCTCCATGTGCTCTCCGGGTCAGCAGCTGCTTCTCTCCACTGCTGCTCTTGCTGGGAGATCATCTTGTGAGCAGCTGTGAGCCACCACTTTGGGCCCTCTAAGTCCCATCCAGAAAGCACTGCAACTGAGAGAAACAGCAATATGCTGCTTCTCTGTGCCACAGTACTTTCTGGATGGGACTTAAAGGACCCAAAGCGGCGTCTGACAAGACGCTCTCCCAACAAGAGCAGAAACAGAGAGAAGCAGCTGATGCCCCGGAAAGCAGAGATGGAGGGGAGCAGGTCCCGAAAGGCTGCTCAGGTGAGCCTCGCCATGTGGCAAAAGCCACGCATGCGCAGAAGCTGTGTGTACGCACTCACATTTTTGGCAAACCGGTGGTTATTATTATTTGAAACCCACCACTGATTTATAGGTGTTGTCAACAATATTATATTTACAGTTAGGAAGTAAATACATTTCCTATGACTAATGACTTTTAGATTGGTGAACCATAAAGGATTTTGAGAGTTGAATCCAACAGTCAGAAGTAGAGATATACAAGGAGTATACGTAACCCCATATCTATAACTCAATCTAGCAGCTTTATGTAAAATGGAGAAAGCTGACTCAGGGAACCCCATAAAGAAGTTTGTCAAGAGGCAGACTTCTCTTGTCCATATTTGAACCTATCCTAGAAGAAGAAAGTTCTTTTTTGCAAAAATTAACAATAAAACAAACCGAAATCAGATCCTATTAAGTTGGCCTCACTGACAGATGGAGAAATACCCAATAGCTATGACCCTGTGGGTGTTATTAATCATGGGACTAGAACTAAAAACTCATAAACATTTGTTGAGATATTAAAAAGATCAATAATGGATGAATTATCAAATAAACAAATGTATTTTATATTGAAATTCATCTTCTGCACTGAAATTTTTGTAGTTTGAGTACTTTCATATTATAAAATGGAAACAAAATTTAAATTCTTACCGTTGACTTTGCATATTGTTTTAATTGAATGTGTAGCTTTGACTTTGAATAAAAACAACCCATTTTTCTGTTAGGAATTTTTCTGTTAAGTATACCCATTTTGCATTAATCCATAATTAGTTGATTATAGTAAAGTGGTGGCATTACAAAGCATGTCTAATCAAATTGATGTCATCACATTTATATTTTTATTGATATATTTTTAAAATTTGTATTTGATATATATTTTGGTAATCTGCATTATCACAGATACCACACTGCCAACACCATCAACATACAATGTACAGTTTACATATTTTGTAATGTGAAAAGAACAAATCAATTTATATTTCTTACTCTCTCTTTGTGATTAGTCAGCTTAACAGCTTAAAGGGGAAAACCTATTGCATTTAGAACCATATCTTTCTTAAGAATTGTGAAAGATCCTTTATTCCAGTTGGTCATGGTAAATTGTCTGATAATTATTTACCAAATATCCTCAAATGTCACAGGTATGATGGCTGTTCTTTTTATCAAAATTCTGTTTATGGTCCTTTCCGCAGGAGTTCAGTGTGATTAAAGTATTTTGAGTATCCAGCACAACAATATCTGTATCATGGCAATTCTGTATTTCCACCAAACCTGGAATCCTGTTTTATTTGTTTATTCCTTTCCTGTGTTATGAATTAAAAGTCTATTGCATTCTATTTCTTTTTCTTCTTCAGACAGATTTGCTGTTTTAATGGTGTGGTGTGAAGTAAGAGAAGTCCAAGGAGAGAAATGGATATTCCAATCCACCATAACAAGTCATCTATTTCTCCAAACAACAACCTTCCTAAAAAGGCCTATAAGACAGGAAGAAGAATAAACAACAGTAAAATTGTACTCTGATCAGTGCGTAAATTTCTCAGCTGCAGTAAACTGAAGATGCACAATTATTTTTAAGACATATGCAGAAAAATAGTATTTTGAACATACTCAAAAGGTTCTTTGTGTATAATATTCAAATAGTTTAGTATTTAAATATACTATTTGGAAAATAGCTAGGGACTAACAAAAGAAATCACCCAATACTATCAACTCACACATGCTTGCTAAAATCTCCTTATTTATGCATTTGGAGTACTAGTGTGTTAAATGTTCCAGTTCCAGAAAGTTCTGATACCAAAATGGATTTTCTAAGTCTGGACAAACAATTTGGTTTTGGACTATTTGCAGACCATTCAGAACAATCAACTAGTGAAACAGTGATATAAGGCTACTACAATATTCTGCCTTAAACAAAAGTGGGGGTGCCCTTTTGAGGTTTTCATCAATCATATGGTCTCACTATACTCACTGAAAAGATGAAGTTGGACGCTGTTGATGTCACAGTTACTGTAGCTGAGGAGAAGGAATGTCTTAAAGCTTTAGCAAAGAAAGTCCACATTATGGCATTGCACACAAACACTAGGCCACCACAAACTATTTGAAGTATTACAGATACCTGCAGAACAAATGGAGACAAAAATTATGATCTTTTCTATATACTTTCAAACATTCACTTCAAAGCAAATTCAACATTCACTTCAAGAAACAGCAGATATGCAGAACTGAGTAGAATTCAGCTCTGAATATTACATTATTAAATACATTTTTTTACAGAGAAGGATTTTGTTGCAGTGGGCAAACTTATGAAAGGCACTGGTCATGATTCAGATTTGCTTTGCAAATGGCAGATCAATATTTCATCCATCATCTTGTTGAGGTAGTCCTCAACTTATAGCCAACCATGATATCCAAAATTTCTATTGTTAAGCGACACATTTGTTAAGCGATTAACATTTATTAATAATTTTTTCAGGGCTGTTGTAACTGAGCATTCACTAAATGAACTATTCTAAGTCAAGGATTACTTGTATTTAGTTCTGGAGGTTAAAAGGAATAATCACTTTAAATTGTGCTAAATTGTGCCAAAATTCCTCACTGAAATGGAAATAGTATCTCATTAACCATATTTTAATAATTTTAATACCGTGTTTCCCTGAAAATACGACCCAAAAAAGGCACGACGTCTTATTTTGGGGGGATGTCATTTACTGACTAACCTCTCTTGTGCGCTTCCCCTCAGCCTCCTTTTCGCTCTCAGAGGCCTTCAGGAACATTGACTTCTATGGCCGGCAAGGCTTTCCTGAAGGCCTCTGCAGCCGATAAAAGAGCTCTGGATCGATCTGGAGCTTTTGTTATCAATTACAGAACTTTTTCCCATTCAGTTAACAAGAATGAACTTCTGAAAACCAAATGTATCAAAAGGAATCCTTTATTGAGATGAGACAATTCATGTAGGAGTTCAAAGCAGCATCTAATGTCTCTCAGACATACCGGGATAGATAAGGGAGTTAAGAACCCCTCCCCTTCTCTCAATGTGTATTTAGTGAAACAAAAGCCAGTATGTTTATTCCACCCCACCCCTTCTGAAGGAATGATCTTTTTCACAGTTTCTAAGCATACATCTCACTGTGGAATTTTTATGGTCTTCTCATCTCCTGGCTGTGCTTCTCAGAGGTGATAGGTTCTGGACATCTGGGATTCCTCTCTCCATTGTATCATGTGTGGGTTATACAAATTTGATATAAGATTGAATGTATTCAGGTTATATCAAGAAAAAATTTTTCCAACCCCCCCCCCCCCCCCCGCTTTTCTTCTTCCACTGAAGAAATGACAGATACACCGATCTGACATCCTGCCCTCCTTAAAAAAGATAGGTCTACCTGGAAAAAACAAAAATCATGCATTACATTTGTAATTCAGGATGGTTTATCAGGGTATTTTAGGTGGAACTTTCGTAGTAATGTGGGTGCTTTTACGTGTCGTTTGACTACCCACTCATTTTCTGAGGAAGGAAGGAGTTTCCAAGCTACTAAATATTGTGTGGATCCACGGTGAGTGCGTGAATCAAGGATATCTTTAATTTCAAAATGTTGTTCCCATGTACCATGATGGGGGTTGGAGGTGTGGGAAAGGGGGGGGGTCTGAGGTTTGAAGTGATCTCTGGTTTGAGCAAGCTACAGTGAAATACTGGATGAATCTGCCTAAGTGTTTTTGGAAGTTGAAGCTCTACCATCACGAGGTTAATAATTCTGGAGATTGGAAATGGGACAATGAATTTTGGTCCTAATTTCTTAGAGGGCTGTAACGATTTAAGAATTTTGTGGACAAATATACATGGTCCCCAATCTTGAAAGGTTTAGGTTCACAACATTTTTTGTCTGGTTGAGTTTTGTAAACTGCTCTAGCTTCCTGTAAAGATAATCTTACCACTGGCCACATGGCTTGTAAGTTAGTCATCTGCTCCTTAAGGGAGGGGATTTCAGGTTCTTTGGTGGGTAGTTCCGGCATGGGGCTGAATTCTTGGCCCGTGGCTACCTGAAATGGGGTGAACCCCGTGCTACTATGGACTGAGTTATTGTATGCTACCTCTGCAAAAGGAAGGTCAGTCCAATTGTCCTGTTGGTAATTAATAAAGCATCTTAAATATTGTTCTAATACGCTGTTCACTCTCTCCATCAATCCGTCAGTTTGGGGGTGACTTGGTGACAACAACCCCTGGGTGGAGCCTAATAGGTTTAAAAAACGCCCGCCAAAATTTGGATGTGAACTGAACACCCTTATCTGAGATAATCTGTTGGGGAGCTCCATGAAGGCGATAAATGTGTATTAAGAACCTCTTTGCCAACGCCTTGGCAGTTGGGATCTTTCAGCATGGAATAAAGTTTGGAAAAAAGATCAGTTACAACCCAAATGACACTATTCCCAGCACTTCCGGGAAGCTCCACTATAAAGTCCATAGAGATCTCTTTCCAGGGTGCAGAGGGTCTGCTACTGTTTGTAACAGTTCAGGATATTTTCCTTGTCTTCTCTTTGCAGCAGCACAGATAGGGCAGCTCGTAACATAGTTTTCAATGTCCTTTTTGAGGGATGGCCACCAAAATTGTCTTTTGATAAGGTGCAGAGTTTTTACAAACCCAAAGTGTCCCGCTATTTTGGAGTCTTGGTAGCATTTCATGAGGTCCATTCTCTGGCTTGCAGGGACATAAAGTTTGTTCTCTACCCAAGCCAGTCCATCTTTGAGTAAACTGGCCTGGAGCCAGTCATCCTTAAGTAGTGCCTCCTTAAATATTGACGTCATTGTGTCTTCAGTCAGGGATGATTTTTTTTATAACCTCAATCTTTTTGCTGTTGTGTTGGGGTTTTCTGGACAGTGCATTTGCTAAGAAGTTCTTTCTCCCAGGAAAACATTTGAGAATGAAATTAAAACGTTTGAGCTCACCTTGCTTGTTTTTCAGAGAGTTTCCATGGATTTTTCAGGGCTTCCAGATTTTTGTGATCAGCCCATACCTCAAAGGGGATTTGGTTTCCTTCCAGGAAATGTCTCCATGTGAGCACAGCATATGCCTTTTTCCCATATGGCCCATCTTTGCTCGGTTTCCGTCAGTTTCTTGGATGTATAAGCGCATGGTTGCAATTGTCCACTTCCATTCTTTTGGAGGAGGACTGCTCCAACTGTAACATCACTAATGTCAGCTTGGAGGACAAAAGGTTGTTCAGGATCTGGGTGCTTAAGGACCGGTTCTGCTGAGAATAGATGTTTGAATTTCTCGAATGCTGCTTGGCATTCCATTGTCCAGATAAGGGGTTGCCTTGGTTTGGGTTTCTACCCCACCCCCCCATGATTGGGAGGGCGATGTTTGCAAAAGCTGGAATGAATTGGCAATAAAATTTCGCAAATCCCAAGAAGCTTTGCAGTTGTTTGCGGGTGTGTGGTGGGTCCCAGTCCAATACAGCTTTTACTTTCTGTAGATCCATCTCTATTCCCTCGTGGGATATTCTATACCCCAAGTAGTCAATTTTTTCTTGGTGGAATTCACATTTAGAGAGTTTTGCATATAGTTTAGCATCTAAGAGTTTTGTGAGGACTGCACAGAGTAGCTTGATGTGTTCTTCCATCATTTCCGTGTAGATTAAGATATCATCAAGATACACTAAAACCCCTTTATATAAAAATTCATGAAGGGCTGCACTGATCAATTGCATAAACACGGCAGGCACTCCTTGCAGTCCAAAGGGGAGCACTTTAAATTGGTAGCATTCCAATGGTGTGTTAAAGGCTCTCTTCCAATCATCTCCTTCCTTTATTCTGATGTGATAATATGCCTTTCGTAGGTCTAACTTGGAATTTCTTTTTCCTTTCGAGAGCTGGGCTAACATGTCCTTCATGAGGAGGAGTGGATACATATTCTCTATGTAAATTGTGTTTAATTTTTGGTAATTCACACACAGACACATGGAGCCATCTTTCTTTTCGTGGAATAATACTGGGGCAGCTACTTTTGGTCGGGTGGATTCAATGAAGTCCCTTTCTAAGTTTTTATCGATAAAAGCTCTGAGTGCAGCACATTTGTGGTTTTGGGAGTTTAGCCCTGTTAGGATTTCGATAGCACAGTCTGTGGCTTGATGGGGTGGGAGTTCATCACAAGCTTCCTCACTAAATACTTGGGCCAGATCCTGGTATTCATTGGGGATGTTAACGGGTTCAGCCGACTGTCCGGTCATGGCTGATTCTCTGTTCTCTGTCCCTTTCTTTATCCTTTCCTCTGAGCTTTTTGCAAATATTACGTTTCTCTGGAATTGTACAGTTCCTTTCCTCCATTTTTGGATCCCATTTCTGCAGCCATGTGAGACCTAGGACTAGTGGCTCTTCCATTCCTGGGACTACAATGAATGTGAGCATCTCCCTATGGTTCCTTAGATTATTTTCAATGGTTCTGCGGTAAACCTGGCTGGCTCTCCCTCCCCCCCGCTATAGTTCCATCTAATTGGCAGAAAGCGATGGGATTTTCCATTTCTTTCAGGTGGATCCCCAATTTCTCTGCAAGGGAGGGATTTATTAGGCATTGGGTGCATCCCAAATCCAGCAACGCTGCAACTTCCTCCCCCTTCCCTCGGCTGGGATAAACAGTCTCAGGGGTAGGGTGATTGGTTCAATTGGATTTCTTACCAGATGTCAGCTGGTGTTCCATTCCAAGTGGTAGCAACAAAAGAATTCTGAATCTGAGAAAATGGGCGTGTAAATCACATATACAAAGTACTGGCAACATTCCCACCCCCAATAATTCAATTGGCTCATGCAATTAGAAGTTGTGTATATCATCATGTGGGCATCTCCAGGTGGTGATGAGGCCTCTGTCCGTTGACCTTGACATATTTTGATAAAGAGTTGCAGCTGTGCATAGCATAGGATAGAAGCCTAAGCAAGAATCTACCCCCCAGCTTATACAGTTCTGTTTTGTAACACCTCCAGCTCACTTCCCATAACCAAATCCCCCCTCCTCCCCCCCCCGTGACTTATGACAGCCAAAAGATGTAAAGCAAAGGGAGAAAATCTTGAAGGCTGACATTCAGTCCTCCTGCAAAAGAGACGTTAATCCTAGAAAAGATAAAAATAAA